TGGAATCAAAGCCATTCAAATCTCTTGAAGTTCTATTGCCAGTTTTTGGATCTCCGCTGATACAACAGTTGAACGGCCTTGGACTTGATTTAGCGTCAAACAGACCGTCTTAAGAACATCGAATTGCTTCTAGTCGGCACTACAGCATTCAAACTAAAAAATGTGAAAAACGCTTTTATTATATGAGCTCAGGAAGAGACCTATGAAATTTTCAATAATATTTTTATTCATAAATTCATATATAAAGGCAGATATATATGTAGCAGTTCAACACAAAATCTGTTTTAATTTTGCGTATCTCCAATTYCCCGCCTTGAAAAGTCATGTTCGTTGGTCTATTATTATTATTATTGGCACTTATTAAAATAAGTGCCAATTCCCTGCCAGATATTTTCTCAACCGTGAAGGAAAATACGCGTTCATGTAGAAAACGTACGATAATTATTGTGTGACAATTATTATATATTTGAGTACCTTGACTAGTCATCCTGAGTGCAAGCACTCACTAGATAACCATAAGTGATTCCCCCATTTTTCGCCAAGCATTTGTCACCTTGCTCTGTGCACGTAAGGCATAACTCTGTTTATCCTAACCGACCGCAGTTTCTTAGTCTTGCTTTCCGAAGCTATAATGATCTTATAACCTTACGAGTATGTCGACAGAATTTCGCAAGTACCTAGATTTAACGATGGTACTAGCCGAAGAATATTTAACGAATCTGTTGATTGCAATAGACACGTGTAATGTGAAGCATACGATTGGTGCGCAGCACGGCTGACGTCGTTCCGGAATGCTACCTGTTCCATCTAATTGGTGCATTCTCTCACTTACACRAGCGTCATTTCCTATTTGAAGACAAAGCGTCATTGCCTGCTAATAAGTCCAGTTGGCAGATCAATCCCAATCAATCTAACGCTTAAAAACATTTCCCTCTTTGTAATTGTCACAACGTCGTCATTATGTCCTAAAGAGGTGGATCAGCCAGCACACATACGRCACAGTGCGCCCAATAAACAGCCAACCGGATAGAGAAAAAATTGCTTTGAAGTTTTTGATCACATCATTTCAGGTACTAAAACTTTTATATAGCAAATCCTCATGTATAGTTATTATTTCCCCTCTTCTAAGTAGACTTTAGAAAAATTTATACACCAACATTTTGTCAAACAAAGTTCTTTATTTTAGATTTCAGTGATTGTGATGTTCATATTTTTGACTCTAGAAATTGAACAYGGTGAGTATATTTATGTGTTGTTTTTTTTTCGGTTGTAATCAGTAAATTGTTGCTCGTCTAATYAAATTATCGCTAATTGTATGAAATAGTTTTGGCATCTATCTATTTTTCAGAGACTAGCGATGCATGTTTAAAAGTATTTGACTTTTTACTTTGTTAAGTAGATCTGTTTGCAGAGTAGTTTTAAAAGCACAAACGCGTGTATTTGATCTTTTAGATTGCGTTGAGACATCCWACYGCCTTGTTAGCAGTACGTGTATCACTCGTTYATTCTGTCCWTAAAAATGTAAATTACGTATCCAACATTTGCCTTGTTGTGTCGAGAGCCCTATATAGCTAGATCTTTGTTCTTTATCATTTCGTTGATCACATATACAGATAAAACTCGGTAAACATGTCCATCGTCTTTTACCGCGGAAACCACAATTTACTCCGCCCTGTCCTGTGTGACAATCTTATCACAAGGTAAATTCAAACTATTATAAAAATGTCGCGTTTCATAAAAATTCCATCATACCCTTAGTATAATGCTTGCTTTTTTATTCACGCGAATAAAAGATTGCGATCCCGGAAACAACTGACAGTGAAGATCGTTTGGTGATCGTTGATTCGTTTATCAAAATTCTGCCATTTCAACGTATGCTTAAATTCGGGCGATAGTTAAATGAAGTGATACTGATAAGTCTATATGTCATTCGTGCTTCTTGAACATTCTCATTTCTAAGTGATTCTAGAAAACTATAATTAAAAAATAATTTAAAGAAAGTAGTATTATGTTAATTATTATTTATTGGCTTGCATCCATTCTTATGACAAAGTGTAGTTTGTACAGAGTGACAGCCAAACAATAAGAATTCTTGTATTGAAATAATTGCTGATGATAAGTGAAGCTGTCATGAGAAATAATTTTAACAGTTTTCATTGCTTTTTTTAAGATTTATACAGGAAGGTAACACCAAAGAATCCGCTCCTA